TTCTTAATTTAATAGTCTCCAGATGGTATCCCTAATTTAATCTAAAACCTACTCTGGACTGTTCTTCTATCTCGTGGGCAGGTTAAGGAGGAGGCCAAAGTGGGCAGGGTGGAAAAAAGGTGGAGGGCACCAGCTATGATGAAAAAACGCTGCTGTCTTCAACCAAAAGCCTGGCGGAACACCTCTGCCTTACAGGCCCTGCGAAATTGCATTAAGTCCCGCAGGGTCCTGACGGAAGTTGGCAGAGAATTCCACCAAGTCGGAGCCAGGGCCGAAAAAGCCCTGCCTCTGGTCGAGGACAGCCAGATATCTTTGGGGACAGGGATCACCAGTAGATTGTTCTCAGCAGAGCATAACGCTCTCCCAGGGACATACCAGAGGAGACAGTCCCGGAGATATGCTGGTTCCAGACCGCTCAAGGCCTTAAAGGTCAATAGCAGCCCCTTGAATCTGGCTCGGTATTCCACTGTAGCCGAAAGCACTGGACGTTTCCACGAAGCAAAGAGTGAGCTACCGAGTGTGCTAGCAGACTTACAAAGTTACACAGAGCCGGTAGTCAGATTCAAAACTAATAAGAGTTCTTTATTACATAGAACTCCATTCTAGGCAGTATAGATGAGAGATAGGGATAGGATCTATTCTAACTACCTAGGATGGATAGGGATGCAGGGAAGAGTGCCCCTGCATCCGTTGTTCAGAGATGGAGAGAAATGTGCTCCTTCTTTGAGTGTGTGAAAGGAAGTGCGTGTGAGAGGAATTGTGTGTGAGAGTAAGGTGCCAAGCTGGTAAGGAAGGAAACTCGTCCCTAACAATAGCATTCTACTTCAAAGGGGGTAGGATCAGTTAACAGGAAGGAAAGGATGCTGTGTGTGTCCTGACCTCTCTATCTGACTAAATCTATGGTGACCTCCTGAAAACTGAGGCAAGGGACGCTGCATAGTCCTTCCCTTTTCTAACAGAGCATTCCTTCCTGACCTCAAAGTGGTGATTGGCATTACCCTAGGCATATAAGAAAGGGCCACGAGAGCCAAGCATGGGCTCATCCCTTCCTGCCCTCCCTCTCGCAATCTGCCTAGATGAAGGCATGAAGCCGCCTTCTGTTGAATTTGACCCCTGGTCTATCAAGCTGGTAGGAGTTGCGGTGGCTCAAGTGGTTAAGATGCTGAACTGCAGGCTCTGGAAGGTCGGTAGCTCAGCAGTTCGAGACCCGGGTTGCCGCATGATGGCATGAGCTCCCGTCTCTAGTTCCAGCTCCTGCCAACCTAGCAGTTCGAAAGCAAGACATTGCAAGTAGATAAATAGGGACCACTTCGGTGGGAAGGGAACAGCATTCCGTGCGCCTCGGCGTCTAGTCATGCCGGCCACATGACCACGGAAACGTCTTCGGACAGCGCTGGCTCTTCAGCTTGGACTCGACTGGCTTTCGAGAAAGGGAACCTTTACCTTTACTATCAAGCTCAGTATTGTCTACTCAGATTAGCAGCTGCTCTCCAGGGTCACAGGCAGAGGTCTTCCACATCACCAACTACCTACTCCTTTTAACTGGAGCTGCTGGGGATTGAACCGGGGACCTTCTGCATGCCAAGAAGGTGCTCTACCACTGAGCCATACCCCTCCCCTTACGTTCTCTGCTAATGCTAACCCACTTTGGCGTAGTGGTTAAGAGCGTGGACTCTAATCTGGGAGAACCAGGTTTGATTCCCCACTCCTCCACATGCAGCTGCTGGTGTGACCTTGGGTCAGTTACAAGCTCATTCAGAGCTGTTCTCTCTAGGGCAGTTCTCCAGAGAGCTCTCTCAGCCCCACCTACCTCACAGTTCCCTCTAAGCTATGGAGTCCTTTGAGCAAAAATTCTCCTTTATGAGCAACTGGCATTACAGTTGTGAGCAGATTATTTAGCTACTGCATAAGTTACTTTGCTCTGGAACCATCCTTCCTGAGCTAAGACCAAAAATGTGTGAGCCAGAGGCTAAAAAACTGTGAAGTAGCTCACACTAACTCAGCTTAGAGGGAACACTGCTCACAGGGTGTCTGTTGTGGGGAAGGGAAAGGGATTATAAGACACTCTAAGACTCCTTCAGGTAGTGAAAGGTGAGGTATAAATCCAGTCATCTCCTCCTCCTCCTCCTCCTTCGAAAGGTTCTGTTGCTTATACACTGTCTCGAAAACTCACCCTCTCTTTTGGTGAATTAGGAATTCACTGTCCTAGAGATGTGAAAGCCCGGAAAAAAAGCGGAAAAATTCAGAAAAAAAACCCGTTTTTTTCCCGTTTTTTCCCCTGAAGCCTTTTTGTTTTTTTCCGAAAAATTGGAAAAATTGAAAAAAAAAAAGAAAAGAAAAGAAATTGATTATGGAATGTTTTATTTTAACATGATAAATAAAATATTTTAAGACAAGGTGTTCAAATATTTTCCAAGTCATTTCTAAAATATATAATGGTATCAGATTGATCTAATTTCTGTGCACTGAGGACAAGCAAGTCCTAGGTTACAAACTGAACTCTCCAATGCAAGAACAAGATGCATTTCTTCCTTTAGGAGGTGCGATTGTCAGAAGAAAATAAAAAGGTTTCAGTTTTGTTTTTGCATGTGGGTGGGTATTCTGTTTGTAATAATTGTTTGGGTACACTATATTTTTAATATGCTAGTTGTGATAATTTATGCCAAGTAAAAATGTCCATAGTCATTTTTTATGTTCCTAAAGTAACAGAATGACTTTCAATCTAGAAAAGACAAAAGAAATGCTAATGTAGCATTTTTTTCAATTTTTCCGAAAATTTCCGTTTTTTCCCGGAAAAAAACGGAAAAAACCCGGGTTTTTTTCCGAGCTTCAAAATTTCCGGAAATTTTATATCTCTACTCTCTCCTAATATCGATTTACGCCACTCTCTTTACTCTTTTAACAAACAAAAGGGACAGGATGGTTTCCCGGCTGTGGGTGCCACAACCAAAGGAACATGTTAGTCATACCAAGACTGCAAGTAGGAAGAAAAGGGAAACTGGGATAACAGATTGTTGACAACTGAAAGGATCAACTTGATCACAATGGATCTGGCGCAGAGTTGCCACTAAGGCCAAGCGACTCTCATAAATGGCTTCTCTTTGGAACAAATTCTCAACCGTGAGTCGTCTGTTATCATCATCATCATTACTATTGAATTCATTTCTAACCTGCCTTCCTCCCTGATGGGGACCAGAAGCAGCTTACATGGTTCCCTCTCCTCCATTTTATCCTCACAACAACCCTGAGTGGTACGTCAGTACTGAAACTAGCCCAAGGTCACCCAACAAGCTTCCATGGCAGACTGGGGGTTCCAACCTGGGCCTCCCAGAGCCTACGCCAACCCTCTAACCACTACACCACAGCAGTAAGTGATGTGGAAGACCTGCTCCTGAGATCCTGGGTAGCCACTGCCAATCTCAGTAGCCATATTGACCTTGATATGTCCTGGATACTCCGGGCTAACCCGATCTCATCAGATTTCGAAAGCTAAGCAGGGTCGGTCCTGGTTAGTACTTGGATGCAAGGCCCCCTCTAAGCTGTGGAGTCTTGTGAGCAAGAATTCTGCTTTGTGTGCTACTGGCATTAAAGTTGTGAGCGAGTGATTTACTGCACAAATCAGTTTGCTCTGGAGCCATCCCTTCCTGAGCTGAGACAAAAAAATGTGTGAGCCGGAGGCTAAAGAACTGTGAGCTAGCTCACACTAACTCAGCTTAGAGGGAACACTGCTTGGATGGAAAACCACCAAGGGATACCAGGGGTGTGACACAGAGGCAGGCAATGGCAAACCACCTCTGAAATGTCTCTTGCCTTAAAAACACATCTAGCTCGCCACCTAGTGGTACATAATGGTAAAAGAGCTAGAACTTCTGGCCGCTCAAACAAACTCAGTTTAGAGGGAACACTGCTTGGATGGAAAACCACCAAGGAATACCAGGGGTGTGACACAGAGGCAGGCAATGGCAAACCACCTCTGAAACATCTCTTGCCTTAAAAACAAGTCTAGTTTGCCACCTAGTGGTGCTTAATGGTAAAAGAGCTAGAACTGCTGGCTGCCAGACAATCTTCGGATCTCCTGGCTATACTATGCACACTGTTACACGATAATTATTATTATTACCTTGACATACCAAGGGTCTCGCCTTGTGTCTTCTCGCACATCGCTGTACAGATTCCACAACGTCACACAAGACTTTAAGAACCTCAGCTTTTGTGTTTTTTTAAAAAAGGGTTCTTAGAGCTACTGACTGTAAATGTGGAGCTGTGAAACCTCAAAAGGAAGGACTGGGGTCTAGGCCCAGCGATCAGCAGAGGAATTCTATTCCAAGTACGCAAACATGTGCCACTTTGCATAGTTGATCAAAGAAACCACAATCTGGATTAGAAAATTATTGTTTTTGGTTAAAATGGACAAGATGAGACGGAAGCTTAATAATATGGGAGCAGAAGATTTCTATAAAGACTGGAAAGACTTAAAAGACTACTTGGAAAAGTATTGAATGTGGAATTAGGGTAATAAGAAAGGTTAAAGGTATAATTGTAGTAGTTAAGTAATAGTTACCTAGTGAACTTGTAATGATAAAACGGATGGTGAAGTGATGGTTCAGAGATGTGCAGGAGGTCCTAGCACTGTGGGAAGCCATGTGGGGGGGGGGAGGGTAGGATGTAACAGGTATAAATGTAAAATCAATGTTGGATTTGATTGATTATATCCTGAATAAAAAAAAATTGACAAAAAAAAAGAAAAGAAAAAGAAAGAAACCACAATCTGTTGACAGACTATGGATCGAAGGCGCACAGAAATATTCTCAGAAGTCTTCCCCTTCGCAAATCAGCGTACAATCTCCTCTCAGCTTTTCCTTCCACATGCCTTGCATGAATGCATAACTCCTTGGGCCAAATATGCCACAATCAAGACTTCAGCCAAGAAACCACCTGATTTCTAGACAGTCCCTTCTGTATCAGCTAGATAAGAAGAGAAAATAGGGTGGGCGGCTTACCGCAGCGATCTCGAATGACCAAGTTTCTGCCTTCTTTCAGATGTATCGTTAGGAGATAGGCGAACGAGCCGGGCAATTTACTCAGACCATCGTTTCCTTCAGGAAGCGCCTGCGAAAGAGGTTTAAAAATATCCTGTGTGAGTTTTGTTTCCCATAAGGAGCAGGCATGGAGCCCAGAGGCTCAGTGTCTAGGAACTCAGTGTCGAGGGGCCTGCAGCACCTTCCCCAATCTGTGGTTGCAGAGAACAGCACAATGGCAGGCGGCGCCTTCTGAAAGAAATGTTCTCTCGTGGCATGCAGGAGGCAGATTGTTAGACCAGGATATGGGTGTTGGAGATTGTAACTCTGCATGCAAGAGGAACTGGGAGGGAAATGGTTAAGATCTCTCTCTCTCTCTCTCTCTCTCTCTCTCTCTCTCTCTCTCTCTCTCTTTCTCTCTCTCTCTCTCTCTCTCGTACACTTGGCCCCACCCTCTCATTAGTTAGATGTTGAGTCTCTTTAGCCATTGCTTGCCTCTCTGTTTCATCTTATTTAGGACCAGGGGTAATTTAGTAGAAAGAGAGGTAAAAAGTAAAGGTAAAGGTTCCCTTGCTCGAAAGCCAGTCGAATCCGACTCTAGGGTTGCGGTGCTCATCTCCGTTTCCAAGCCGAAGAGCCAGCGCTGTCCGAAGACGTTTCCGTGGTCATGTGGCCGGCATGACTAAACACCAAAGTGCACGGAACGCTGTTCCCTTCTCATTGAAGTGGTACCTATTTATCTACTTGCAATTTCTTGCTTTCGAACTGCTAGGTTGGCAGGAGCCGGAACTAGAGACGGGAGCTCACTCCGTCATGCGGCACACTCGGGTCTCGAACTGCTGAACTACCGACCTTCCACAGCCTGCAGTTCAGCGTCTTAACCACTTGAGCCACCGCAGCTCCTAAAAGAGAGGTGCAGGAGCTCATTTGCATACACCACACCCCCTGACAAAGGCAGGGCACCTGGGGAAGATCAGGCAGGGAACCCAGGCATGTTTAGAATGCCTTTGTTTCCCTTCCCTTCCCCAGATAGAATGCATTTCTTTCCCTTCCCTTGCCCAGATAGAATGCCCTTCTTTCCCTTCTCTTCCCCAGATAGAATGCCCTTCTTTCCCTTCCCTTGCCCAGATAGAATGCCCTTCTTTCCCTTCCCTTGCCCAGATAGAATGCCCTTCTTTCCCTTCCCCAGATAGAATGCCCTTCTTTCCCTTCCCTTCCCCAGATAGAATGCCCTTCTTTCCCTTCCCTTGCCCAGATAGAATGCCCTTCTTTCCCTTCCCTTCCCCAGATAGGATGCCCTTCTTTCCCTTCCCTTCCCCAGATAGAATGCCCTTCTTTCCCTTCCCTTCCCCCTCACTTTCAATCTTTAGGAGGCAGCTGAGGACAGTTTTATTTGAGACTGCATTTGATCAAAGCAGTCCTCAATTGTGATTTTAAAGTTTGGTTTTATGTTTTTGATGTAATCTATTTTACGAATTTTATCCTGTATGGAGAAAGGCAGCTAATAAATATTTAAATAATAATAGTGATCTAGGGAGAGTCACCCTCCAGGGCTGAATAGAGACACAGGACTCTTATCTCACTAGAGGTGCTAATTTTCTGCCCTCTGCTCTACTCCTGCTGATTACAGTGCACATTGTACCTCTGGACCGTGACTCTCGCCCTGACCTGGATAGCCCAGGCTAGCCCTATCCCGTCAGATCTCGGAAGCCAAGCAGGGTCAGCCTTGGCTTGCATTTGGATGGAATACCAGGGGTGTGACCAACGCTCCCTCTAAGCTGTGCAGTTTTGTGAGCAAAAATTCTACTTTGTGAGCTACTGGCATTAAAGTTGTGAGCGAGCGACTTGCCTACTGCATACATTAGTTTGCTCTGGAGCCCTCCTTCCTGAGCTGAGACAAAAATCTGCGAGCTAGAGGCTAAAAAACTGAGCTAGCGCACACTGATTCAGTTTAGAGGGAACACTGGGTGTGACAATGAGGCAGGCAGTAGCAAGCTACCTCTCTGAAATGTCTCTTGCCTTAAAAACAAGTCTAGCTCGTCACCTAGTGGTGCATAACGCTGAAGACCTAGAACTTCTGGCTGCCAGATGATCTTAGGATCTCCTGGCTATTCTACACAAAGTGGCAGATGGGAATTAATCATTTAATCCTGGCTCCCTTCTTTGCAACAGCCCTCCCACTTTCAGACTGGGATATAAGGACTCAGAGATCGCTGTTCCTACTCGGGTCTGAAGAAGGGAGCTTATTGGTCTCTAAAGTACTACTGGACTCAAATCTAGCTGTTCTGCTTCACAGGGTTGTTGTCACGACATTAAGACAGAGAATGGGAGAACAAGCGTGTAATGGGGTCAATGGTCTGTGCTTTCTTGCAAGTGCTTCATGGGAGGATATTTGCGATACCTGGATAGCCTCATCCTGTCAGCTCTGGGAAGCTAAGCAGGATCAGCCTTAGCTCGTATTTAGAAGATCGACCTCCAAGGAATACCAGGGCTGTGACCCAGAGGCAGGCAATGGCAAATGTCTCTTTCCTTCAAAACAAGTCTAGCTCGCCACCTAGTGGTGCATGATGCTAAAAGAGCTAGAACTTGTGGCTGCCAGACAATCTTAGGATCTCTGAGCTATTCGCCACGCAATGCCATGGATCATTATTGCAGAAATTTGCGATACCAAACCAAGCTCAGCCTTTGTTGTTCTGGGATGCATTTGGGGGGGGGGAGGAGAAAATCACTCACAGGAAGCTCTTCGTACAGCTGGGAGGAACACGAGGAGTCGAAGGTGGAACTTCCACAGGAACGCTGTCAAAAGCAAACAGACCCTTAGGCCACAGAAACTGCACAAACATCGTACCACGCTGCTGTCTGACAGGTTTCTGCCCAGGCAAAAACCAAGAGAGAGGCAGGGCAGAAGTTATTTTTATGGTGGCTCCCTTCCAAATGTGTACGACAGGGGGCATTTTATTTCTATATTTACATATTTCTTTTTGACCCTGCCTTCTGGTGACCCAACGTGGTTTACACCACTCCCCTTTCCTCCACGCTATCCTCACAACAACCCTGTGAGGTAGGTAAGGCTGAGAGTGGGCGACTGGCCCAAGGTCACCCAGACAGCTTCCATAGCAGAGCAGGGGATTCAGTCCAAAGCAGGCTTCAACACCTCGAGCAAAATCACCGGTGAGCCTCTGGGGCCTCCACATTATGCTCTAGGTTGTGCTGCATCTCTTGGCAAGAGAAAGGCAGTGTGGTATAGTGGTTAGAGTTAGCTTGATTTCTAACAATTGCTCTAAATTCTAAATGGATGCTAAGAATTTTTAATTGGTATTGTGATCAGGGGTCATTTCCTGTGGGAGCGCACAGGAGCTGAGCTCCGGCAGTAAGGAGCCCAGGAGGCGGGCACATGCAACAAGCCCCACCCCCTGCTCCCAGCAGCCCTCAGTCAGGCCACGAGGAGCAAGAAGCAGCCAGGTAAGTTGCAGAGCCCCCCCCCGGCCTGCCTTCAGGTACAAACTCTCCCTCCTCTGTGAGGGCAGATCTGCACGTCCCCCCCCCCCCCAATAGCTAGCAATCCAAAACAGTCCAATGGAGCCTGAGCGGTGGGTGTTGCCTTCTGACACACTTCCGGTGACGTCAAGGGGTGTGGCATATGCAAACGAGTTTGTCTACGAAATGACCCCTGATTGTGATTACTGTATTGTATTTCTTCCTGATGCTGCTCTTGGCGCTGTTTGCTAAGGCCATGAGGATGAGGATGAGGATGAGGATGAGGATGATGATGATGATGATGATGATGATGATGATGATGATGATGATGTGGTTAGAGTGTTGGATTAGGATCTGGGAGGCCCAGTTTCGAATCCCCACTCTGCTACAGAAGCTCGCTAGGTGACCTTGGGCCAGGCAAACACTCTCAGCCTAACCTACCTCAGAGGGCTGTTGTGAGGATAAAAACGGAGGAGAGAATGGCGCAAGCCACTTTGGGTTCCCACCGGGAAGAAAGGCAGGATGTAAAGGAAGTAAATAAATAAATAAGTCCAGCATGCAAACATCCCCCCCCCCTTCAAGACAGACATTTAAAGCACCAGCCAGCCAGCCCTGGGCCTCAGCGGCAGCCACATTCCTTCCGGCATCGAGAGCCCAAAAACTCATTTCTAGGAAATGTCAGCATCAACTGGGAACAAGAGATCACGATCAAGATTGTGCTGGGGGGGGCAACAGGGGGAGGGCTACTAGTGTTCTGGCCCCACTGCTCGGCCTCCTGATGGCACCTGGTCTTTTTGGCCACTGTGTGCCACAGAGTGTTGGACTGGATGGGCCATTGGCCTGATCCAACACTAGCTTCTCTGATGTTCTTATAGGAACTCTCGGTCTGGGGCAAGTGATGCTCTGTCATCTTGGTGCTGGGAGAGGGGCAACAGTGGGAGGGCTTCTAATGTCCTGGCCCCACTGGTGGACCTCCTGAGGGCCCCTGGTATTTTTGGCCACTGTGTGACACAGAGTGTTGGACTGGATGGGCCATTGGCCTGATCCAACACTGGCTTCTCTGATGTTCTTATATGGAGCAGAGGTCCACCAGTAGCTATTAGCCACATGGTATATAGATAGGAACACTCAGTCTGGGGAAGGTGATGTTCTGTTTGTTTTCTGGGGGTGGGGGGGGGGGGGGCAACAGTGGGAGGGCTTCTGGTGTCCTGGCCCCACTGGTGGACCTCCTGATGGCACCTGGTGTTTTCGGCCACTGTGAGACACAGAGTGTTGGATTGGAGGGGCCATTGGCCTGATCCAGCATTGGCTTCTCTTATGTTCTCTTATGTTCTTATGTTCTAAGTTTGCTGCACCTCCGGAGGGGCAGCCTTCCTAAGGCAGAGGTTCTTAAACTACCATTACTTGTCGGGTTGTCAACTTCCAGGTGGGGCCTGGAGATCTCCCACTATTACAGTTGATCTCCAAATGACCAGGATCAGTTCCCCTGGAGAAAATGGCTGCTTGGGAGGGTGCTTGTTTGCATGTTATAGTGAACCCATGTACATCTATTGGTAAGAAAAAGCCAGCGCATGTTCACTTTGCAATGGAAACCAAGGGCCGGTCTCTGGGTAAATGTGTGGCTTGTATCACACATTCAGCTGCACGTGCACTGAATGTAATATCAACACTACTCAACACGTGCATTAAAAAAAATCAAGTAACTATTGCACACAGATAGTATGTGCATTCACTGTAATGTTTAAATAGAGTTTCTGTTAGGCAACTACATTTTTCTCACAATGCAAGAACTCATGGGCACTCCATGAAATTGCGGAGCAGTCGGGTTAGAACAGATAAAAGGCAGTACTTCTTCACACAAAGAGGGATTAACACATGGAATTCCCTGCCACAGGAGGTGGTGGAGGCTACAAGCATGGATGGCTTCAAGAGAGAAATAGATAAGCATATGGAGCAGAGATCCATCAGTGGCTATGAGCCACAAGATATAGATAGGAACTCTCAGGCTGGGGCAAGTGATGCTCTGTATTCTTGGTGTTTGGGGTGGCAACAGTGGGTGTAGTGTCTGTTAATAGAGAGCGGCGCGGCTCGTTCTAGCCCTGAGGAGGCCCGCAATCACTACACACAACTACAGCGCAGTTCAGACCTGTGACACCTTTTATTCAGTAGTATCCACAATAATAACACAAGCCCCGACCTGCAGGGAAGAAGGCTTAAAAAACGGAGAGAGGGAGGAGTGCCTCTCTTAATCCTTTTCAGGTGTGTAGGAACGATACAACTCCATCTTAAAGAGATATACACCACAGTGGGAGGGCTTCTACTGTCCTGGCCCCACTGCTGGACCTCCTGATGGCACCTGGTCTTTTTGGCCACTGTGTGACACAAAGTGTTGGACTGGATGGGCCACTGGCCTGATCCAACATTGGCTTCTCTTATGTTCTTATAGGAACTCTCAGTCTGGGGCAAGGGATGCTCTGTATTCTTGGTGCTTGGGAAGGGGGGGCAACAGTGGGAGGGGCTTCTAGTGTCCTGGCCCCACGGCTGGACCTCCTGATGGCCCCTGGTATTTCTGGCCACTGTATGGCACAGTGTTGGACTGGATGGGCCATTGGCCTGATCCAACATTGGCTTCTCTTGTGTTCTTATAGGAACTCTCGGTCTGGGGCAAGGGATGCTCTGTATTCTTGGTGCTTGGGGGGGGGGGGTCAACAGTGGGAGGGCTTCTAGTGTCCTGGCCCCACTGCTGGACCTCCTGATGGCCCCTGGTGTTTTTGGCCACTGTGCGACACAGAGTGTTGGACTGGATGGGCCATTGGTCTGATCCAATATTGGCGTCTCTTGTGTTTTTATAGGAACTCTCGGTCTGTGGCAAGGAATGCTCTGTATTCTTGGTGCATGGGAAGGGGGGACAACTTTGGGAGGGGCTTCTAGTGTCCTGGGCCCACTGCTGGACCTCCTGATGGTACCTGGTATTTCTGGCCACTGTGTGACAGAATGTTGGACTAGATGGGCCATTGGCCGCCTGATCCAATACTGGCTTCTCTTATGTTCTTATGTTCTTATATGTGTCCATCTCAGTCTACATGAAGTACCAAAGTATTCTGAAGTGAGACACACAGTGAAGGGAAGACAGGAAGAACGGGTTACAGGGCTGCTCAGTACAAAATGGTTCACAAATAAATGATTAGGACTGTGGTCTATTGTGCTGCTGTGCACAGTTTATTGCAAGTAAGATTAGGGATGTGCACTTGATATAACTGTGCTGAAAATATATCCTGGAAATATTCAAGTAACAGTCTGTAGTTTCAAGTGTTTCTACTATTTTTTAGAAGTTTATTCTTTGCTGGTCATGTTGGATTTGTAGGTGGGTTCGATATTTGATGAATCCTCACGTTTTAGATTGAGATTCTCAAACTTCACATAGTTTCAGATTCTCAAGTTTTACATAAATTCAGATTCTTGGGTAAGCTTAGCAATGACTTGGCACAGCCTTTCTATTGGTGTCGTCTCGCACAGGGCTTATGACACCATTACTTCTGTGGGGCCTGTGCCTGGAACTCCATCCCACGGCTACCTTTTTAGGGTATGTTTGCTCTATCTAGACAAACATGCATAGAACCAGGCTGACTTATATACGATTTGAACCGGGGTAAGCCACACCCAACAAACAGATAACAACCAATCAGAATACGGAGCTTGGAACTAATGAGAGTGGTTCCCGCCGAAAACATAGGCTTCTCTGATTGGTTAGTTCTTCAATCCAAACTCTGCTCTGTTTTAATAGAACTTGTGCTTAAGCTAAACATTGCTTTATTACTTAAGACATAACAGGGAGATTCTCAGCTTTCACATTTTTGGGGGGTGGGAGGGTTTCCTCCATAGGAAACAACGTAGGACAGCTGGAGGCACCTTATTCTGAATTAGAATCAGAGTCCTTGGTCTGATTCACTTGAAATCCGAGGTTATTTAAAGGACAGGCACCAACAGCTCCCCTGCAATTTTGGTGCCAGGACTTTTAAAAATACCCCATAGCCCCTTGGAAAGATTCTCTATAGGGGATAAGGAAGCCAAAAAATATTAGAAACCCCCCCCCCAAATCCCTGAATCTGAATATTATATTGGTATCTAGAACCCAGGAATACTGATATTTTTCAGCTCCAATATACCCAAATCCAAAATATACTGGGACGGGGGTGCTGGTGTTTTTTGTTGGCTGGTTGTTGTTTTTTTGCTGCGTATGCCTAAGTAGAATCCTATTATGTAATTTCTGTACTGCTTCATGTGTTGTGTGAATATTTATGCGATGCTTCAGTTCTGCCTGGTGTTTCCAGACTTCTAAAATCCTAATCTATCGGTTACTGGATGTCCCTGTTTTGTCGACAGTACTGGCTCACTAAGTGCAATCTACCTTGAGTCCCCATGAGAAAAGCAGACTATTGATATAGTCAGGTAAATAAATAAAATTATGTTTTCAAGCCCCTTTTTGCATACCTGTAAGTCACGCTTAGATATTCTGGCTACAACAGCGGTTGCTTTAAGGGTTCCGGAAGACAATCTTTCCAAGCTGGAGAACGAAGTTTAAGTCCAGTGACACCTTTAAGACCAACAAAGTCTCATTTCGGGTATGAGCTTCCATGTACCTTGAATAAAACACGAAAGCTCCTACCTTGAATAAAGTTTTGTTGATCTTACAGGTGCCACTGGACTAAAATTTGTTCTACTGCTTCAGAACAGTATGGCTTCCCACTTGAATCTACCTTATGGGCTGAGTTAGGTTTAAAAAGGTAAAGGTAAAGGTTTCCCTTGCTTGAAAGCCAGTCGAATCTGACTCTAGGGTTGCGGTGCTCATCTCCGTTTCCAAGCCGAAGAGCCAGCGCTGTCCGAAGACGTTTCCGTGGTCATGTGGCCGCCATAACTAAACACCAAGGCGCACAGAATGCTGTTACCTTCCCACCAAAGTGGTACCTATTTATCTACTTGCAATTTCTTGCTTTCGAACTGCTAGGTTGGCAGGAGCTGGAACTAGAGATGGGAGCTCACTCCGTCATGCGGCACCCGGGTCTCAAACTGCTGAACTACCGACCTTCCACAGCCTGCAGTTCAGCGTCTTAACCACTTGAGCCACCGCAGCTCAAGTTTGGCTTTTAGTTAGGTTAGTTAGGTTTGGCGAACCTCAATTTCGCACTTACCTCCATGGCGTCTTCCGTGAGGTCGCTGCTGAAGCTGCTCCTTTGTAGCAGGTCAAAGAGCTCCTCGGAGGACTTCTGCTTCCCCTCTGACCCCAGCCCAGAAGCGGCAGGCCCCTCTGCTCCCCTCACCCCTATTTCCATGTGCACAGTCTCCCGATGACTCCACTGCCAATCCTCCCCGTCCTGTTTCAAAGAAGTGCTGCTGTCGTTCTGAACGAACATCTCCGTCGCGGCAAAACCACTCGGGAGGAACGCGGAGAGGGCTTGGGGACGCGAGCAACCAGTCTGTTCCTTGACAGCCACGTCAACGCTCAACATGTCAGGAACCGAGGAGCTGAGGCGCCGGTCGAAGGGGTGCTTCTGCCTCGCCGCCGTCATTTTGGAGTTCTTCCTAGTCCTCCTGATGCTGAGGTTGTGTAACAGAGGCTTCGTTTTCTGCTTCAGCGATTCCCAGACGGAGGATTTCTCCAGATCCATAATCAAATCGAGCTCCCCGCAGCCCGGGGGTACTGCTGCCTTCGAGTCCACTCACCAACTTCTAAGGATGAAAAAGCATAGTGGAGAGGAAACTCAGGCAAGCATCATGGAGAGGTATACTGTCAGATCTTATATCAGGGCTCGAACAGATATTCTGAATGGGTTCTCAAGGGGGAAAAAAAGACTGCATTACTAATTCCTCCCAGGTTTGTTTGCTTTTTTAATCATGGGCAAATGTTATTCTTCTCGGAAGGAAATAAAGGACGGTCCACAATCCCAGCACAAGTCCTGAGTGTAAAAATAGTCAGGGGGAGCTATTTTGATAGCCTCCAGGAGGCAACCCAAGGGGAATTCTGCAAAGTGACAAACAGGTTCCACTTAATAGCTGCTAAGAATTGCTCTCTGGAGTGATCAATCTCTCTTGGGTGATTCACAGACTGGGGGCTGGACAGAGACACGGAGTTGGCACACAAAACGTAACGCGTATACACCAGGAGCCGGCACTTTTTCTATAATCAAGTGCGAGAGGTCTACAAAGAGCCAGTCTGAGTAAGTCCATTTCCCTAAATGAAAACTGTACAATTTAACCTGACTGACGGGTCATTTCCTGCAGGAGCGCACAGGAGCTAAGCTCTGGCAGTAAAGGGTCCAGGGGGCGGGCACATGCAACAAGCCCCACACCCTGCTCCCAGCAGCCCTCAGTCAGAGCAAGAAGCAGCCAGGTAAGTTGCAAAGCCCCCCCCCCCAGTCCAAAACAATCCAGTGGCACCTTTAAGACCAAGTTTTATTCAGGTACAAGCTCTGCTTCCTCTGCAAGGAGAGATCTGCACGTTCCCCCACCCCCCAATAGCTAGCAATCCAAAACAGTCCAGTGGTGCCTTCTGACACACTTCCAGTGATGTCAGGGAGTGTGGCATATGCAAATAAATTATGCTAATTAGTTATGCTAATGAGCTCCTGCACCTCTTTTTCTATGAAATGACCCCTGCGTGACTGATAACTGACATGTTGATTTAACAATCCAGGAAGTTTGCGACGTAGCCAAAAGCACTTGCTACGAGTCTTCTGGTAGGAAGAGGCACGCATGAAGTCTTGCAATAAGTCATAAATGTAGCTAGGAACACCGTGTGCAATTGGTTAAGTGCACTGGCATAAATCTGTGCATGGTTCACATTTGCTTGGCGTGCACATGTTCACCTCTATCATCTCGTTTTCTGCAGAACTTCCCTAAGAAGCCTTTGAGTCCCATAAAAATATCAGCCAGCCAGCCCCTTCCTATTCTGGTTATTCCAGCACAGAGTTCTCCAACGTGGTGCCCGTGGACCCCGCAGCACCTGTCAAATATTTTACAGAAGTGGGCGTGGTTAGATTGGGCTTATCTGACTGGCTGTGAAGATTAAAATAACCAAAGTGTTGGTTTCATTCTCTCTCTCTCTCTCTCTTTCCCAGGGTATTTTTAAAAATTAGTCTGTTAAACACCCTTTAGTCTGTTAAATACTCATCCTCTACCTCTATGTATAGACTGGTAACTTCCACTTCAATGTATCTGAAGAAGAGTGCATGCACACGAAAGCTTATACCCAGATAAAAAAAACTTTGGTGTCACTGGACTTAAAGGTCAAACAAAGGTTAGTGAAGAAGAGGGCCAATATCTATCAATATCTATCTAATAAAAGTGGGAAAAGATACATGTATTTATTAATAACAAATTTAAAACATATACAGGGGCCCATTTACAACAATTATATATAATAATAGGCCAAATAGGCCTTCCTTTACTTGTGAATACTGTGGCAACACAATCAAAGAAGAAAATTTTTGGACCACAAGTCTACTTTATAATCACTGGGCTAGTGATAGCACTTTAAAGGCCTTATGTGCATATTGACCCCGTGCCTGGTGATTTTATTTTTGAACAATTTACTTTATGGTCCTTATTAAATTTATACTTTGTATGTATTCTTGATTGTGTGTGTGTGAATATATGTATTAGCCATTTTGCCACATATATATGACCTCTGAGGAAGGCCTATTTGGCTGAAACGCATAAGGTCAAGCTTTTAAGCCCCTGGTATTGTAAAGTTTTATATATAATTTTTGTAAATGGGCCCCTGTATATGTTTTAAATTTGTTATTAATAAATACATGTATTTTTTTCCACTTTTATTAGATAGGTTTCAATATTGGCCCTCGTGGGCACTCCATGAAACTGCAGAGCGGTCGGGTTAGAACGGATAAAAGGAAGTACTTCTTCACCCAAAGAGTGATTAACACATGGAATTCACTGCCACAGGAAGTGGTGGGTGCTACAAGCATGGACGGCTTCAAAAGGGAATTAGATAAGCATATGGAGCAGAGGTCCATCAGTGGCTATTAGCCACAAGGTATAGCTAGGGGCTCTGGGGCAAGTGATGCTCTGTCTTCTTGGTGCCTGGGGGGGGGGGGTCAACAGTGGGAGGGCTTCTAATGTCCTGCCCCCACTGCTGGACCTCCTGATGGCACCGGTATTTCTGGCCACTGTATGACACAGAGTGTTGGACTGGATGGGCCTTTGGCCTGATCCAACATTGGCGTCTCTTATGTTCTTATGTCTTCACTAACCTTTGTTTGGTTCTGGATTCTATTGTTAGGTTCAGTTTTTTCCCCTTTTTATTTCTACTGGACTTAAAGGTGCCATTGGACTCAAACTTTGTTCTGCTGCTTCAGACCAGCACGGCTACCCACCTGAATCTATGCACATACCTGTACACACAACATACCCTAAGAAAAAGTTGAGGAGGGCATGGGAAAGTCAGTCAACCTCAGACCTAACCTTCCATTGGGGAGGGGCTGTGGCTCAGTGGTAGAGCCTCTGGCCTGCAGAAGGTCCCAGGGTCAATCCCCAGCATCTCCGTTTAAAAACAGATCAGGCAGTAGGTGATGTGAAAGACCTCTACCAAGAGTCAGGCAACATATGTTGGTAAACATATGAAGCAATTAGGAAAAGATAAAACAAAGCTAAACAGAAGTGGAAAAAATATATAAGTGGGTTTTACGAAAGTAAGTTCTGATTGACAAATGTATGAAATGGACTCTTGTAGTTTATGTTTTGTGAATGTCATTTACGTCTTGTGTATGTATGATTCGGACATTGTAATCTGGGAGAACCGGGTTTGACTCCCCACTCCTCCACTTGCAGCTGCTGGATGACCTTGGGCAAGCCATAGTTCTGGCAGAGCTGTTCTTGAAAAGATCAGTTTCTGTCAGAGCTCTCTCAGCCCCATCTCCCTCACAGGGTGTCTGTTGTGGGGAGGGGAAGGGGAAGGAGTTTGTAAGCCCCTCTGAGACTCCAAGTGAAAGGCGGGATATAAATCCAATCCCCTCCTTCTCTTTTTCCTCTCTTCCTCCTCCTCCTCCTCCTCCCAACAAGAAATCCCTATAGTTATAGATGATTTAAGAGTCCAGTAGTGGTTAAGATGCTGAACTGCAGGCTGTGGAAGGTCAGTAGTTCAGCAGTTTGAGACCCGGATGCCGCATGACGGAGTGAGCTCCTGTCTCTAGTTCCAGCTCCTGCCAACCTAGAAGTTCGAAAGCAAGAAATTGCAAGTAGATAAATAGGTACCACTTTGGTGGGAAGGTAACAGCGTTCCGTGCGCCTCAGTGTTTAGTCATGCCGGCCACATGACCATGGAAACGTCTTCAGACAGCGCTGGCTCTTTGGCTTTGAAACGGAGATGAGCACCGCAACCCTAGAGTCGGACTCGACTGGCTTTTGAGCAAGAGAACCTTTACCTTTACCTTTAAAACCTAGAAGCTAGCTACTGTGTTGCATATCTTCTTATCCTGGGAAGGTTGTGCTCATTCCTATACACTGAATCTATTGTATTGTATCAACTTAAGCCTCAGTTAAGATTTGTGATTTATATCGTTGTGACAAGTGTTACTGGAGTATATTAGTAACAATGAATGTTAGCATTCAATAAAATATTACTTTAGAAAAACACTACCAAAAAAAGAGGGCTTTGAAGAGTCTGTCACTTGGACTGAACTGTGCTACAAATGTGGGGAGGGGGGGAGAGGTCAATATTCACGGGCTGAACCCTCCGGGTCTCTGTAAGTTGCCCTTATCTTAGACACGGAGATCTAAAATCTTGCACAAGCATGGCAGCATCTGAGGGGGGAAAGGACCATGTCTCTGTGAGTGTTTTTGTTTGTTTTGTTTTAATGAATGCACAAAGCTGACTTGTCTCCAGGTAGATCATTGGTCTAGCAAGGCCAACATGGTCTAGGCTAACTTGCAGGCCCGTAGGCAAGATTTTGTGGCTTTGGGGACAGTTTTTCTTCCAGGTGGGGCTGAAGTTCTTAGTGTAGAAAGAAAAGCCATTTAGCCAAATAGAAAGCTGTGACCAGAATAGACCTCTACATTGCAAGCTGTTGGCCACTTTAGAGGACAGTTCTCAGCTGCTGCAAGTTAATCACTTCTGCCGCCTAAGCAACTATTATGAGAACAAGCCGGCAGGTGGGGGATGCTGACTTCTGTAGTCAAGAAAGCTAACACTGAGGCAGAAAAATTGTCTTAAAGGAGACCAGTTTCTTGACACAGAGTTACAAGGGATCCTAGAGGTCACCTACTCCAACCCCCTTGCTCAGTGTGGGAATTAGTCAACTACAGCACCCCACACTGCTTAAAGGAGCATGCACCTTTAAAAATGTTTTTAAATGATTGAAAAAAGCATTTACAGGAGAAATCCTTGTGGGGATGGCGCCGTCAAAAGCCCCACGGTAGCTACAGGCCTGCTGACGTGTAGTCACCCTCCATGTTCTCCAGTGGAGGTCCTTCCCATCACCCACTGTCAGATCCTTCAGTTGGAAGGGTGCCAGAAATTTCTGCATGCAAAGCAGTTGCTCTGCCACCAAGCTACAACCCCTTCCCTACTCTCCTGGACTAAGCTCCCTCAGGTCTCCCACACTCTTCCCCAAGCTCACTTTTAGAGACACCCCAAAAGCACCACCACTGGCTTGATTGCAATATCGCACTATTTAATAGCTCCCTCCAACAGAGAACAAGAAAAGAACCAACAG